GCTGGGCCCCTTGGACGCCCCCTCTGCGATGTCTCCTTCCAGGGACTCTGAGGGGGCCAGCTGCGAGACCTCGCTGGGAATGAGGGCACAGAGGAGGGCACTCCGGGTACGTCAGCTCCTACACACGGCCTTCCAGTGGGAAGCAAACACTGCGACAATTCAGGGACGCAGCAGGACTCACGTGGGGAGGGCGACACCGAAGACCACATCGGGTTAGCTCTCCCGAAGTCTGACCTTGTCCCCCTGAGCCGGGGCATTGCCTCGTCTCGAGGTTTTCCCTTGTAACTCTCGGTCCCTGAGGCAGGACACGTCCGGGCCCTACGCACACCCTTAGAGACCCTCTGCGCACAGATGACTGGTTTTCTAGAAGCAGACCTGGCCCTGCAGGCACGGTGGCCGTGACCCCAGCCTCTCACTGACTAGGACTCACGGTCCGCCTGGACGTTGGCCTCACGTCCCCATGGGACACTCTCGAGCCATCCTCTGTGCGCCCTTGCCAGGCTCCAGTGACCCCTGATACTGTGAGCCATGCGCCTTCCCAGCGTCCGGGACCATCTCGAACCCCGGCTCCCCCAAGAACAGGCTCTGTCCCGGCCCAGCCCAGGCTCTCGGCTCCTCTCACCACCCGAGGGTGGCGCCTCGAGCCTCAAGGACCTCGTGCCGACCGTGCTCCTCACCGCTCCTCCACATTTCCCGCTCTCTCTCTGTTCTGTTTCTCTCGCCCAGAGTCTGTGAACCTTCAGCGGCCCGCAGAGGGTGCGTGTGGAGCCCCACCGGCCCCTCCGGGCTCTGCTGCCCCCCCGTGGCTCCAGCAGTCTCTGTCCCTTTGCAGGGCAGGGGCCATCGGGGTCACCTCCTCAGAAGGGGTGTGACCGGAGTGAGGGCTCCCTCTGGCAGCAGGGTGGTAGCCCCGAAATGGAGTCACAGACTCCTCGGTGTTGCCAGGCCGTCCGGGGCTCCCAGGACACGGGCAGGTGGCTGCGGCACAGATCAGACCCTAAGGAGGACGGCGTCGCCCGTAGGCAGAGGTGGCACTGCTCACACCACAGCCCGCGCCCCTTCGAAGCCCTGGAAGCCACTCGGCAAAGAGCCCCCGTGGGGTCCACCTCAGCACCCCTCCAGCCGGGAGGAGCTTTACCTCCTTGCCTTTATGTCTTTTACTTTCTTACTTTTGTATCTCTCAATAAATTTGGTTACACCCAACTTCCTCCGTCTCACGCTTTTGTTGTCAGCACAGGACACAACTCCAGCTATCCAGTGACATTAGCAAAATCCTGTCTCGAAATAAAAGTAAAATTTAAAATGGCCCGGGATACAACTCGGTGCAAAAGTCCTGGGTTCATCCCCAATCCAAAGAAAAAAAAAAGGAGGGAAGAAAGAAAATTTTAAAAAGGTGGTGCCTGTGTAGGTGTGGCTGTCACAGGTAGAAAATTTCCCTGGGCTTTGTGGTGACACAAACACAACCTCCCTCCCACTACCTCTGTGCGTCTCCTTTTCTGTCTCTGCAAAGCTGTGTAGCTCTTGTCTGACTATCTTGTAAACAAACGTGACCTAAATCACATTTGGTGAACACTAACATTACACAGCTTGGTCCAGAGTGACTTCACATACGGGAAAGAGGTTTGTTTAGACACACCCGTTCTCCAGGTGCAGCGCTACGTGCCTGAAACCCCAGCTAACTGGGAAGCTGAGGCAGGAGGATGGCAAATTTGGGAGCAGCCTGGCCACTTAGCGAGACCCCATCTCAAAATAAAATCTGAAAAAGGCTGTGGATGTAGCTCCCCCATAGGATGCTCGCGTAGCATGTGTGAGGCCTCATGTTAAAAACCAGAGACTCAGCCGGGTGTGGAGGTGCACTCCTGTGATCCCAGCACTTGGGAGGCTGAGGCAGGAGGATCGCTATGAGTTCAAGACAAGCTTGGGCTACATAGTGAGTTCCAGGGCAGTCTGAACTACATAGTGAGACCCTGTCTCAAAAAAAAGAATCAACAACTGGGATCTCATCTTATTAAAAAGCTTCTGTACTGCAAAAGAAACCATCAACAGAACTAAGAGACCACCTACAAAGTGGGAAAAAAATTTTACCAGCTGCTCCTCAGACAAAGGACTATTATCTAAAATATATAAAGAACTCAAAACTATCAGCCCCCCCCAAGTATAAGGACCCGATTCAAAAATGGGCATCTGAAATGAACAGATATTTCTCAGACAAAGAAGTAAAAGGAGCAAGTAAATATATGAAAAAATGTTCCACATCACTGGTCATTCGAGAGATGCAGATGAAAACAACACTAAGATTCCACAGCACCCCACAAAGAATGGCTGCTATCAAGAAATCACACAATAACAAATGTTGGTGGGGTTGTGGGGAGAAAGGAACCCTTCTCCATTCTTGGTGGGAGTGCAGACTGGTGCAACCACTATGGAAATCAATACGGAGATACCTCAAAGAGCTGGGACTAGAGGTTCCATTTGACCCAGCCATCCCTCTTCTGGGTATCTTTCCAAAAGAATTAAAAGAATCATACCAGAGTGATATATGCACACCCATGTTTATAGCGGCACAGTTTGTAATAGCTAAAACTTGGAAACAGCCCATTTGCCCATCAGTTAGAGATTGGATAAAGAAGATGTGGTTTTTCTATAAAATGGAATACTACTCAGCCATAAAGAATGAGAAATTAGATTCATTCATAGGAAAATGGATACATATTGAGGATATACTCCTAAGTGAAATAAATAAGTCACATGTGTAAATACCGAATAGTTTCTCTGGTGTGAATAAACTATAATAGTACATAAGATCCTAATGAGATAACTGACATTGTGAAATAGGAAGAAAACGGCCAAATGTGTAGGGAAAGTGGGAAGGGTAGGGAAAGGTAATAAGGGAAAGAAAAAAATAGGAGAAAATGAAAAAAATGGAAATAAAATGTTTGTAAATGGGGAGGGGAGGAGAGGGTGCAGGGAGGGCAGGGACAAGGGGAAAAAATGAGAACCAAGACCTGTTGTGTAAAGGTACAACATCCCAATGATGAATGTAATTGTACTGTATACCTAAAATGTACCAATAAACTCAATGAAGAAAGAAAAGAAGAGAAAAGAAAAAAACCTAAACAACAAAAACAACTAAACCAGAGTCTCGGGCCAGGGATTTAGCTCAGTGGTGCTGCCGCCTGCCTGGCAAGCACAAGGACCTGAGTTCAATCTCAGTACCAAAAACAACAACAACAACAACAACAACAACAACAACAACAACAACAACAAAAAACAGTCTCTGTGCATGGACACATGTATGTGCTTTTATTCAAGTGTCTCTAAAGAATCATTGACCAAAGGGCACTGGAAAAACCCTCCTCCCGCAGCAGCCTGTGACTCACCAGGGCCCACGTGGCTGGGAGCCCTGGCCTGGGACAGAGCCCTGCTTATTCTGCGGTGGACTGAAAAGGCCTTTCTGTCACTGTTACTGGCTGCAGGAAACGTCCCTGTGCACAATGCCGTGTGTGTCCCAACCCTGAGGGCCACTTCAGGGACCGTGCTGAAAAGACCCTGTGTCCACGGAGGAGACGGATGCAGAACCAGACACCAGGTCCCCCGGGCTCCTTCCACCCGGGCGCCTGGCTCGGCTCCAGGGCCGCGTGGACACAGGAGCAGCTGGGCGCCAGCTTCCTGGGCCCGTGAAGAGATTTTGTGCCGGACTTTCCGCTCTGGGCACTGCCTGGACCAGACCCAGAGGCCGGCCCACGAGCTGCCCTGTGTGTGGGGCCCGCTCTGCTCCCCATTCCGCGCCACCCCGGCCCTCAGCCACCCAGGCGGTGACAGCCTGTGGACGACGCAGGTGTCCGACTCATCCCGGCCCGCGCTCTTTGCTCTGTTTGAACCACACGTAGGTGTGACTTCAGAAGGCACAAGAGGGCCACAGCGCCCCTCACACCCAACCCCAGCAGCCAGGGCCCCCGGCACGCACCGGGCTCACTGTGGGTTTTGTCTTAAGCGCAGAGAGCAAAGGGCACTGCCCTGCAGTCCCGTCCTCACTTGATTCTTGGGCTGCTTTGCTCACTGCTGACAACCGGACAGGCCCTGGGGGGCCGTGTGGCGGCCGGGTCACCTGAGCTAGAGTAGTGGCAGGATGGTGACCCTAGAACGGCCTCACCTCAGAGTTTTGGAGCTCACAATGGGTATTTCTTGGGGCATTACATGCACTTTTTATTTTTGTTTGTCCGGCATCAGATCTCACTACATGGTCTAGGTTGACCTTGAGCTCACAGGACCCTTCAGCCTCAGCCTGCACAGGGTGGAATTACAGGCACTGACCAGTTTTAACCCGTGATGTTTCTGCTCCCTAGTGGGTTTACTGGGAAGCAATCCTGTTGTGACCCAAGGAACGCTTGCTTCCTCCAGAAAGCCCAACTCTGATTCCATCCTCCACACCCAGGAGAGCTGCCCAGCCCGCCCTGGCCAGCCGCTCCCCGCGAGGCCCAGGGGGGTGAAGAACTCGCTGGGGCTCCGGAGCCAGAGCACTGGGTCTGGGAGCAGAACCTGGGTATACTGGCTTGGCCCCGCCGCCTCTGATGACTTCGTAATCAGGGGAGCCCCGAACGTGCGTCCAGAGCCATCCGTCTGCCGCCGAAGCAGGGTCTCCGTCCCGTCTCCAGCACCGTCTGTGCCTGAGGGGCCGAATGTGGGCTGTGAGGACCAGAGCCAGGCCCGGCGCCGGTGCAGGAGACCCTGTGCTCGCTTCACCTCTGCTGTGTGAGCGGCTGTTGCATCGCCACCAGGTGTGGCAGTGCCCAGGGGCTTTGTCCAGGCTCTCACTGCCCTGTTCAAAGAATTTCACAGGACAAATGCCCATATGCTTAGTGTTTTACTAACAGCAAAGGAGGAATACAAGTGTAAAGAAGCGGTGCTGCGAACACACGACCTGAAGAAGAGAAAACAGGGCTGGGGATTAGCTCAGTGATTCTGCCACCCCTTTGAAAGTGCAAGGTCCTGAGTTCGATCCCTGATACAAAAAAAAAAAAAAAAGAGAGACAGAGAGAAAAAACATGTCCTGTGCAGGGGAACATACTATTTTTTTGTTTTTGGTACCGGCGATTGAACTCAAGACCTTGTGCTTAGGAGGCAGGCAACAGCACCACTGAGCTAAATCCCTGGCCCAGGGGACCGTAATATCGATGACGCCCAAGGCAGGTTGTGAAGCGTGAACCCCACAACTGGCTGTTTATAGAAGTGGCCTGGCTGAAGCCTACGTGCCAGGGTCAGAGTACCTCACACCCAAATTATCCCCACAACTAAAACCTTCAGGTTAGAGGGACAGTGTTCTAACTACAGCCATGTATTCTGTCTGCTCTGTTCCTAATTTGGGAATGCTTTGTCTGGTCCTTTATGGGCCTTGTTTACATTCATTTCCATAGAAACTGCACATAGCTGCCTTTACCCCAATTGATTCCCAGGAAAAGGCAGCGCCTGGGACTGGCCAGCCCGTTGGCTGCACCGGCCTTGGTCGTCTGGCTCCCACCTTCTCTCTCCTAGTTCTGTCTCTTAAGTGTGCTTATTCCCCAGGCCTCCACCCTATACTGGGCAGGTGGGGCCTGGAGCCCACTGCAGGGGTCTCCATTAGTCCTGCATCAGGGCGGCCACGGCATGGGCAGCAGGACAGTGGCTGTGTGGCCAGTGGCTGCTGTGTCCTTCGGTGTCAGCTCCTGGCCACCCTGCCCGGGGCCCTGCACTGCAGCCAGGACAGGCAGGGCGCCATGACTACAGGGCACGCCCGGCTGCCCAGCTGGCTCCCCAGGCCCTAATGCCTGCCTCATTTCCCCCGAGAGACACACACACGGTTCTTTATGGGTCGCTGTCTTCATACAGCTACCTCCTGCGGCAGAGGCTGTAGGCTCTACCTACAAGGGATGAAGGGCCCTCCACCTGAGATGTGGCTCATTGGTTGGGCTGTGGAAAACCTCTCTGAAGACAGTGAGGAAAGACTTGGTACCTGTATGTGCAGAGCTATGGAGCTTCCTGTTTAATGGCGGGAGACTAACTTCCCTGTTAGGTTGGGGATGTAGAACTCAAATATGAAAAGAAGCAGATCAGATTTTCACACTTCCTGCAGGGGCAAAGAAGGATGTTAGACAAGCTAGGTGTACCCATTTATACTCTACTCGATAGAGCCCCCAAATCCTGACAATTTTTTTTCTTAGAGCCTGTGGTTGAGAAACAGGTACTTTAACAGACGATATCCCACTATACGCCAGTAGGTGGCAGCCTAAGAACAGGAAACAGGGGCTTGGTGAAGTTTCACCACTACTCGTGGAAAAGCCACGGCTGTTCAAGGGGAACTCACTTGCTAGTAGGACCTACAGCAAAAGGGAGGCCAAAGCCTTCTGCTGCACCATCTGGTCATCTCCTACCGCCAGGAATGTGTCCCATGCACCCCAACATGTGCCCTTGATTGCTTGTAAAGAGGAGCGGCGGGAGAGGTTCTGCAGGCCGGGTTGACTGCTGAGAGCTGGACAGTCTGACAGACAGACAGACAGGGTACTGTGCACAGCGAGCAAAGAACGGCCCGTGTGCACCCAATGTACAAGACAAGCAGCGACATTCATGGAAGATCACAGCAGGGGGCGCTCAGGGCTCCAGGCCGGGAGAAACGTGGCACCCGTGGAAAAACGGCACCGCACCCAGGAAAGTAAAAAGTGTGCACACTCACGCACAGCAGGCTCTTGGAGTTTGGGGAGGTGCAGCGGCCCCCGGCTTCGCTGAGGGGTCTCCAGGTAGGAGTGGCAGAGCTTGAGGGTTCTGGTCGGGCACCAGGTCTGCCCGCGATCACCTGGTTAGGCGGGGAGAGGCCTGGCCGGGTCCCGCCCGTTACCAGAGCACTCGGCACCGATGTCGTTTCCATCGCTCGCTCGCCTGGCCACCACGGTGTCCCCGAGCAGGCACCCGCAGTGGGCCGCCAGGTGCAGTCTTTGCCGGGCGCCCCGGATTCCGCCCTCCAGCCGCAGCTTGGACGAGGCCTCCCGCAGGGATTTCCGTCAAACCCCAGGCTCCGAAGTGGAGCCGACGCTGAGCTCCTGCGGGCTCCGTGGCGACACCCCGGGGACTCCTACACAGGGTGGCTCCCGCACTCAGTCCCAGTCTGGTCCGCTCCAGGCCCTCACCACCGTCATGGGGCACCAGGGACTCCTTGGGGACTTTGCTCCTGTCCCCGACCCGAGAGACCACAGGCCCGGGCTGCAGAGCTGTGCAGAGCCAGCCTCAAGTGCTGCTCTGGATCCACACAGGAAAGGGGCCCGGGCCAGACACCCCAGCTGGGAGAAGAAAAGGCGGCGGAAGGCAGGTGCTCACAAAACGGACCGATGTTTTCCAATCCCGACCTACAATCGGCCAGGAAAGGTTAGAAAATGCAGAGAAGGAGAAGAAGGATGACTCCAGGGACGCACGCCCAGTGAGCCATGGGCGAATTTCCTCTTCTGGTTTTGCTTTGTAAAGGGGTGGAATTTTTAAAAAATCATGATTGGGATCCAGTGTATGTTGCTTTATTCATGAGAAAATTTCTGTAATTGTTTTCAAGTTGTTTTTTGGGGGTACCGGGATGGAACTCAGGTCCTTGCACTTTCGAGGCAGGCAGTGGAATCACTGAGCTAAATCTCCTCTCTTTTCATGTTATGTTTTTGAAAAACCACTTTTCAGCAGGGCACAGGGGTGCGCTTTGGGAGGCTGAGGTTGCAGGACCCAAATTCAAGTCCTGCCTGTCCCGGTGGGCAGTCGGGGGCTGGAGCGGACCACACGGTCTCAGGCACACTCGGTCCGTCCCTTCTGGGACTCCTGCTGCGGCAGCCTCGGCCCGGACACCCTCCCCTCACGGACAGGAGTTCTCCATTCAAGTCCCAGAAAAGGACCTCGCACCTCCCCAGGCCCGGGTGGGAACAGCCCCAGGCTTTGGGCTCCCACCCGGCCCTGCTGTCCTCTCCTGGGTTCAGAGCGAGCATGGTGGATTTCGACAGTGACACACCAGCTGCACAGGCGTTAGGAGGGGACACCTGGAGCCACCCCGAAGCAGTCTCCCTAGGAAGGAGAATGGAGCGAAGACGGCCACTCCCCTCCCCGTGACAGACACCTGCTCGGCCCCCCTAATCCACGCTGACTCCCACACCCGAGCACTGTGTCCACTCTGGTCAGCTCTCGGATCCCAGCCCCGGCCCAGCTTCCCTTCCCGTCCCTCTCCCAACACCACTCAGTCATGCCTTGGCCCTGGCACCCGTGGATCCAGTGGCTTTCGCTGCCTGCTGGACCCACACGGAGGGTCGCGTGGAGTGAGTGAGCAGACTCAGGGCCTGTGGGAGCAGCGTCTGCCCGAACTCCGCCCCAGCCCCACCTGCAGGGTTTCAGAGTCTCTGGTGCCCAGGCAATCAGACTGCAGCTGCAGGGCTGCAGGGACGGCCAGTGGAGAGCCGGGGACTCTGCTGGGCTGTGCGCCCAGGCTGAGGGCTGCCGTGGGGGCAGAAGGACCCCACATCTCCCCGTAATGTTCCGAGTATCGGGCCATGGCCTGTGCTTCTCATGGTGGTGAGGACCTCAGTGTGTCCCTGTAGAATGGGGAGAGGGTGGTAACCCAAGGTCACGGCTACCCAGGACATTTTATTAGACAAAAAGGTACTCAGTCTGCTGCTGAGTTTCAGGGGCCACCCCTGAGTAACACACCAGGGAACAAAGCAGATCTCAGCGCGTCCCGGAGAGTGCCTTGCTGCCATGTAAGTCAGAACTGGCCGGACATGTTGATCTGGGCCTGTGCCTCGTCCCCCAGCGGCCAGACTGCAGGGGCGTGGACGCAGGAGGTGACAGCCAGCAGCTGTGACCACTGGCTCTGGGGCCGCACCTGGGCCCGTCCCCCCAGGCTGAGACTGGGGGTGGCAGCTGGCCCTGTCCCGTGCAGGGCACCAGCGCCTGTCCTGTGGAGCCGAGGAACATCACCCTGAAGGCTGCTTCCTGTGGCCACTGGACCCTGTGCCAGTCTGTGAGCTTCCTTAGACTGGCAAAGGCGGTGCCACCACTGGACCAGGGACACTGCGCGGTCCGCTCCCTTCTCCCCGCACCTGGTCACACCGTGCAGCCTGGCCGGGAGGTGGCCTCACTCCTGGACCAAGAAGTTGATGAGGGCGGTCCTGGGGGACAGGATGGCCTTCTTGATGCTCCGCCCCTGCAGCAGCCGGGCTCCCAGCTGGCTCTGCAGAACCAGCTCGTGGACGCGGGCCTGGTCTCTCACCACCTGCTGGGGCACGGGGACCGTGCCACAGGCCTTGTTGTTGATCTGCAGGGAGAGGAGAGGTCGGCCTGAGAGCAGGCGCAGGGTGGTGGAGCCGGGACACAGGGAGGGCTCAGCTGTGGGTGGGGGACATGAGCGGGGAGACACAGATGGGCAGAGGGGTGGACGGACAGACAGCCTCTGCGTCCTGAGTCCAGCACAGCTGCGGCGGGAGCGAGGCCCCAAACCCTCAGCCTAGGCCACTTCCAGGCGGGAGCAGGCTGTGGGTTGGCGGAGGGCAGAGGTTGCCAGCAGCCAATTTCCAGGGGGTGATGCCAGCCACTTCGATGCCTGGTCCCACAGGGCACTCAGCGTGCCTACTCAGCAACCAGCCCATACTGTGTCTCCTGGACCACTCTTCTGGCTGAAGTGCGTCCACCAGTATAGAAAAAATTAACCCAAGCCAGGCATCTAGGGCCCATGCCCGTAATCTCAGCACCCGGGAGGCTGAGGCAGGAGAATTATTACAAGTTTGAAGCCAGCCTAGGCTCCACAGTGAGTTCAAGGCCAACCTGAACTACATGGCAAGACCTTATTTCAAAAGAAAAAAAACAAAAAACAAACCCTCAAAACCCAAAGAAATTGTAGAGGATAAACTATAAGGCAGTTATTTACGTATAAAATATTTAAACATTAAACCACACTCATTATTTCAATCCTAATTTACCACAAGAAAAGAAAAAGAAAAAAGGGTCTTCTTTCTTGGCACTAGAGATCAAACCCAGGGGTGCTCTGCCTCTGAGCTATAGCCACAGCCCTTTTATTTATTTAATGTTATTTAGTTTTGGTTGGGACAGGGTCTGGCTATGTAGTCCAGGCTGGCCTTGAACTTATAGTGATCCCCCGGCTCAGCCTCCTAAGTGCTAGGATTACAGGTGTGCACCACCACGCACGTTCTGTAGATCTTAAACTTGTGACTTTCCTGCCTCAGCCTCCTTAAGCGCTGAGACTGCAGGCACGCACCATTGTGCATGGCAAAGATAAGTTCACGGAGCTTTTCTGAGCTGTATTTTCCAGCAACCTCACTGACTCCCTCTTTGCACGAATCGCCACCCAAAACGCCACCAGGTGCAGCTGAATGAGGCGCAGTCTGTCCCCCCAGATCAGCAGAGCAGGCCAGGCTCCTTTCCTTCCAGTCCCCACTCTGGGGTGTGGCTGGGGCGGTGGAAGTCACACTCACCAGGACGGCCACCTGCACCACGTCAGGCTGCTGGAGGACCTGCGGATCCACGGTGGGCCAGGCCTGCTGCAGCACGCCGCTGTCCCAGGCGTAGCAGGCACAGAGTTTGCGGGGCACCAGCGCCAGGCCTGCAACACCAAGGCACGGGGTTGGACCCAGCGAGCAGAGCACGGAGGTCCCTCGGCCCCACACAGCCTGGAGTCCCTGGCTCGCCACACCCTGTGGTCGGCACAGAGCCCGGCTGCAGCGGCGCCGGCATCTCCGCGGCCTGGCACAGGGGTCCCAGGAGCACCGGCCCAGGGCCTGGGTGTCCACCGGGATGCGTGCAGTGGGGACAGACGCAGGACGGCGCGGGTCCTCACACCCCAGCTGGAGCGCACCCTGACCTTGCTTTGTCACTGTGGCTCTGGGGGTCAAACAGGTGTGCTAAGCACCTCCAGCCCCTTTCTTTAACAAAACTCTGCTGTAGGTTTTTCCCCAAGGAACATTCATCACTTTTTCACCCCTTTTCCAGTGCTGGGGATTGAACCGGGGCCTCCCACCCGCTAGGCAAGCAGTGTCCCACAGTTACATCCCCAGCCCTCTTGTAATTGGAAAAGACATTTAAAGAGAAACTTTTTCCATGCTGTGACATCGGTTTAGGGTTTTGCTTCTAGTTTTTGTAACGGGAATCTCACAACTCGAGGCAATGAAAGCAGCTTAACCTGAAGTAATTCTAAATTCACAGGAAGCTACAAAGAAAGGTTGAGGCGGCCTGCAGGCCCGCGCACAGCAAGAATACGGCACAGTTGCGAGGCCGGAAACATGGGGAAGACACCGGCCCACAGGCTCCCGCATACCTGCCCAGAGCTCCGAGGTCAGATGCGGGGCCATCGGGGCAGCCATCACCACCAGGGCACAGAGCGCGTCCTCGAACTCAGAGCTGTGCAGAACGAGCCGCCGAGAGGCTTGCTGGGGGACACGAGAGCACAGGTGATCACCCTTGGGCTCCGGCCTGGCTTCCCGTGCCGCACGGCACCCGCCCGGTGCCCTCTCGCAGCTCGGCCAGGGACCCGGTCAGTCTCCCCTGCCCGGGCCGCGTCTGCTCGGGGCTCTCACACTAACATGTGAGCGCCGTCTGTTCCGCGGGTCGCCATCTTTTGGCTGCATATCTGTGACAATGGTTTTGGACAGCTTTCATCTGTCTTCTACGGTGAGGCATTCATTGCAATATTCTAAAAGCATCGACTCCTCTGTAGTCAAATCTGTAGCCCTTTTCTCTTTACTCCTCAGTGCTGGGGTTGAACTTGGGCCTCAGCACTGTGGGAGGCCGCCAGTCCCCTTCACGAAGCCCCGAGGCTCTGCTCCACAGCACCCGCGGGCTGCGGGTGTAGCTCAGCACCACTGCCTGCCTCAGAAGCGCAAGGTCCTGAGTTCGAGGGGCTTGTTGGCAAATTCTCCTTTTCTGGAGCAAAACAGAGTTCCACGTCACAGGACAGAGAGGCCCTGCAAGGCCTGGTTTCTGCTTTAGTGAGAATTATTCTGACCCTTCTGGATTAAGTGGAAACTGCCAGGCAGCACAGGAAGGAGGAGCTGAGAAGAGAGGCCCATGCCTGGTTCTGGGCTCGCTGGGCCTGCGGGTCACCCGGCTTGGTCAGGGAATCTGAGAAAGCTTCTAGCCACAGGCAGGCTGTGGGGGTGACCTCTACTGAGGGGGTGACACCGCAGGACCTCACCTCTGCCACACCTCACCGCCCCTCCACCACCAGCAGGTGGAGACGCCGGCCACTCACCGCGAGGGCATTGCTGAGACCCATGAGCTGCGCGATCGCGGAGTGCAGGGAGAAGTCCTCCGTGAAGTGGGCGGTCACCTGACGGTAGGAGAGGAGTTACTCACTTTCTCCAAGATTCCTCTAAATTCTCCAGAAAAATAATTCTCAGAACAGCTGAAATTAGCCAGGCATGGTGGAGCACCGCCTGTGATCCCAGCCCTTGGGAGGCTGAGGCAGGAGGATTGCTGAGTTCGAGGACAGCCTGAGCTACAGAGTGAGACTCTGTCTCAAAAACAAAACAAAAAAAAGCTGAAGTTAAATGAGTTCCGAGATATGTATAAGACAAGGTCTGCAACCTCAGACAGGCGCTGTTTCGCTGCCCGCTCTCCAGTCCAGCTCAGGGCTGTCTGGCTAGTGGGGCCGCCCTTCCTCTGCACACCCCAGCCAGGTGAGCGCGGCCTGTCCCGCAGGGAGGACTTGGAGGGGTTGGTGGACACCTTTCTTGGGGAGCCCTGACCCAGCTAGAGCCCGGATGGCGGCAGCTGACTGAGCAGGCTTTGTCTGTCCGGGTTGAGAGGGCAGAGGGTCTCCACCCCAGTCTGACCTGGGCGACCACGGCGTTCCTGTACTGCCACAGCCTCCTGGCCTCCGCCTTCTCCTCGGCCTGCAGCAGCGTGGGCTGGGCGTCCATCCCAGAGGCCCTGGCCTCGATGAACCGGGTCACCAGGGACCACAGGCGCTGCTGCCACCTCAGCACCCCTGGGAGGGCATCGGCTGCGTGGGAGGAGGGAGAGAGAGGGCACTGGTGGGAGCCAGGCAGAGCCCAAGACCCGGGGGACCTGGGGACCACCGCCTGCCAGCTGTCCCTGCCCAGTGAGGGCGGAGGTGCAGCAGGATGGGTAGCAGCTGGCACAGTATGACATCCTCTAGGACACTGCACCCTGGCTGTGTGTGTGTGGCACTGGGGTTGAAACCAGGCTTCACACTGAGCTACATCCGTGGTCCTTTCGTTTTTAAATTCTGAGGCAGTGTCTCCTTGAGTCACTAAGTTGCCCACACTGGGCTCGACCTTGTGGTCCTCCTGCCTCAGCCTCCCAGAGGACTGGGATCGGAGGCCTGCAGCCCCGTGGTTCTGACGTGCGTGTTTGTGTTCACACTGCTACCGCAGAGCCATGCTGTCAGGGCCAGACACTGCCCCCCTTGTCCAGCAGGACCCGGTGTCTCATCCTGAGGGCCACACGACTTTGGGGACAGAGCCCAGGGGAGGCAGGGCGGCCCCCGGGGGGCAGGATCGCAGGGACCGCAGGCCTGGCCCCCAGGAGGGGGGCCAATGTTCTAGCGGCACTTTTCAGCCGCTGGGACCAGCCAGGGTGCTGAGAGACGTGACACTCAGAGCCATCTGTCCCCAGGCCGACCGCATCCCAGAGCCGGCACCGTGCCCCAGAGCAGATGCCCGGGCACCGGCCTGAGGCCTGGGGTTTGCGTTTGTGACAAGCTCCCCACAGACCGCAAGGTGACAGCCACTGGGGACCCAGTCCAGCCGGCCAGGCCGGGCACGTCGGCTGCTGTTGGGAACCCGAATCACAAGGGGAAGCAGAACCGGCTCCGCGCCATCGCTCGGGGTCAGGGCAGCCGGAGGAGGCGGCGGGGCTCACTCTTCACGTCCCACAGGAGGTCCTTCTCGGGTGGCGCAGCAAAGAGCAGGAAGAGCCGCGTGGTGTCCACGCCGTACTGTGCCACCACATCCTCGGGGTCCACGCCGTTGTGCTTGGACTTGCTCATCTTCTCCCACGTGACCGCCAGCGGAGCCCGCGTCTCCACGTGGACCGGAACCGGACCTACTGGAAGAGAACAGACTCTGAGAGGGTGGCCAGGCAGAGCCCATGGGAAGACCTGGGGTGAGCCAGGTGGGGTGGCGTACGCACTCGGGAGGCTGAGGCAGGAGGATCGCCATGAGTTCAAGGCCAGCCTGGGATAAAAATAAAACGAAACAAAACAAAAAGAGAAAGAGAGGAGAGGAAGGAAGAAAGAAGGAACGAACCGGGCAGGCAAGGGTAAGAGTGTCGGAAGAATCCTGTGACCTACTCCACAGGTGCCTCTCACCCCTTCTCTCCTGCAGAACAAAGATGGTTTATTCTGATAGCCGAGTGCCCCAGCCTGCTATGAATCCACATCAACAACCCCTCGGAGCGGATCACTTCTCCACACAAAGCGCAGTCGCGGCCCAGCTGGACCCAGGTGCAGCATCAGGGAGGCCCAAGCCCGGCAGCCTCCGCCATCAGGGGCCGCAGAGACGCCTAGGCCCTCGGGGACCTGACCACACCCTTGGGGCTGGAGGGGCGGAGCCTCTCGACCGGGCGCAGGGCGGAGCTCCCAAGGCCACTGTGTCCCTTTGTAAGGGAAACTGAGGCAGGCCAGGACCCAGCCCGGTGACCCTCAGGTGTTTTGCTCCGACTCCCCAGACACTGTCCTCAGCAAACGCGAGAGGGCCGGCCACAGCCACAGCCACTGCCCGGCCCGGAGTCCCCGTGGGAAGAGATGCCCTGCGGTGCCAGCCAGGTGTGGATCTGGGGAAGCACCCCAGCCTGGCAGGGTCCAGCTAGCCTGTTAGCACTGTTGTGAAAGCGGGAAAAAGCATCTTTCTGCGCAGAGAAGCCGAGAAGATGGAAGAAGATGCTCGATTTTAGCACATGTGGCTCCTAAGTGCGCAGTTAGGCAAATGTCTGAATTTCCATCAGCTGGCGGCCTTTGTGCAGTGTGCAAACCAAACAGCTATCCATGGGCAACCTTGCCGGTCACACAGGGAACACTTCCTTCACAGCTGAGATTTACGTGGCCTTAGATTGGCTCCTTTCTTCACTGGTCTGTGCCGGAGCAACACTGGCAATTTCCGATTCTCCAACTTTTTTCTTCCCCATAGAGCAGCTAGGTTCAGGGGCAGCCCGCTGAGGGGTGGGTCTCCGCACCCGGCCCTCTCACCTGTGAGGTCCACCTGCTCCCGGGGCAGGTACTGTCCAGACGGCAGGCGGAACGTCTGTCCCTTGATGAGGCCCTGTGGCAGCAGCTTGTGGAAGGGCTCCCTGAGGAAGAGAAAGGCAGACTGAGGCCGGCACCAAGCAGGGCCAACGGAGGGCAGGGCAGGGCGGCTTCTCCCGCGGGCTGTCTGCCAATCCGTGGAATGGGCCCGAGCGAGGGAGTCCCTTGGGCAATTTAGGAACCACTGCGGCCCGGCTTTCACTCCACGGGGGGCAGCCTCAGGACAGGGTGCTCGTGCGCCGCCCACCCACACAGGGGCGGGGTCCCCAGTGGGACCCCGCGACCTCAAGGGGCTGCGCCTAAGCGGGGCAACCAATCGGTGGGGCGCTGGAGTGGTCCCCCGGGACTTATTCCCAGGTCTGTCTGTGAAAATCAGGCTCCCCGTCACGCATCGGAGAAATCTAGGCGAAGCACATGCTCAGCCCCAGCGCCAGAACAGAGACCTTGGCACAGGAGAAAGGAGAGCGGGTCTGGAGCCAGCATAAAGAGGAGGAGGAAAAGCGATAGCGTGAGGCTCCACGCTGGGAGGAGCCTGGCCCACCACTGCCCGCTCCTCGGAATGAGCAACCTGCTGGAATCTGACTTCACCCAGCTGTTTTGCTGAAGGCTGCATCCTCCAGCTTCATCTTTCAAACTCTCCAGGAGGCTGAGGCAGGAGGATTGCCATGAGTTTGAGTCGCCTGGGCTACATAGTGAGTTTAAGGCCAGCCTGTACTACATAGTGAGATCCGGTCTCAAAACGCTCCCCCACGAGTGTTGAAGAAGGTGTAGCATGCATGGGAACCTCGTGTCTTCCCGAGGTCACAGCACTGCAGGGTCACCCCAAATGGTTCAGTGGGGACAGGGATGCCCCAGCCTCTCTGCCACCATCTGGACCTCACTGGGCCACAGGTGGCACTTCCTCCTCCCCCAGACCACATCGCAGGACCCTGGGTGCCTGGCACAGACGCCCAGGGGTGGGGTGGAATGTGTTATTTATCCCACAGCGTGCCGAGTGCCTGCTGCGTGCCTGGCACTGAGGACCCTGGTCCTCAGGAGCAGAACTGCTGCTCAACACGGCAGAGCTGTGTGTGGGAGCAGGGGCCGGTTGCACTGCAGTCCCAGCCCCTCAGCCTGGCCACCAGGGACACCGCCCCTGCCTTTACGTGACTCTGCTCTCTCCAAATGTCGCCTGTTGGGGTTTCCATCCAGATGCCCCCAGAGCCTCATGTGGTCAGAGGTGGGCCTTACAGGCACTGAGTGGACCCTTCGGCTGGCTTGGGGTGTGGAGGTGGGGTCTGGTCAGGGGAGGCTGACCTCTGTGCTCTGCCCCCTCGGTACCGTGCCCTGAGCTGCTCTCCTCAGCCAGACCCTTCCAAAATGCCCTTCATGATGCCAGCAACTATGGACTGAACCCTACAAACAGCAAGACAAAACCAACCTCTCCTCCTTGAAGCCGTGGGTGCCAGGCATCGTGTCTCAGCATGTGCCGCTGGGTCCTTACACTGTTCCCTGAACCGTTATTAAAGCGCCTCCCTGGCCTGGTGATGCACTGGGGCCTGGGTGCCTGCCTGGCATGCGCGAGGCCCTGGTTTCCATCCTAGCAGTGAGAAAACAGAGCACCCGAGTCTGCCCAGACTTGCCTCGGCCTTCTGGGCTCTGCCGCAGGGAGGGGAGCTCCCACTGCGAACCGAACCACTGCTTCCCGCTGCTGTGTCCAATGCGACCCTGGCCCTGGCCCTGGCCCCATCCCCACAGGTGTGCTTTAATCCCACGTGCAGGCGCCTGGCAACCGGCTGTCTTCCCCTCCTGAGAGGAGCAGGAGGGTGAAGCGCTGAGCCCAGCAACATCAGCTGTTCAAACTGAATCGAGCGGGCTTCAAGAGAGAATAAATAAACCTCCCAGGGTGAGGACCATGTGAGGGGACAAGGGGTCAACATGTGAGCAGGGTGCTACGGCCAGGGGTCTTGTGGGGAGGGCTGCACAGTGGGCTGTGTCAGGAAGGCCCTCAGGAGAGCGGGGACAGTGGGGACAGCAGGATCGTCCGTCCTGAGTCCTCCCAGGTCCCGGCTCCGGGACCCCCACAGGGCTTGGGACAGGATGCGCACCCCCGGGTAGCTCACAGCCCGCTCGGAGGTGGTCACATTCACTCGGTCGGCGCGGACTTGCATGACAGCAGACAGCAGAGCACAGACGAGTGGGCCAGGAGCCGGCGCTGACCGGAAGGCAGGGGCCGAGGGCCTGGGAGCCAGGGATGAGTGTCCAGGACCTCTGGGGCACAGAGCCCACCACCATCATCATGTTCCCAGGCTGGGCTTGAACTTGTGATCCTCCTGCCTCGGCCTCCCAGAGAGCTGGGATTGCAAGGGTGGACACCACACCCTGGATGCCCAGCCAAGCAGAGGCACCTCTGAAGCAGCACAGCTGCAGTCCCAAGCCCCACTTGAGATACCGACGGGGTCCCAGGCTATGGAAACAGCCTCGAGAACTCTGATGTACACAGACTTCAGGAGCACACACGCAGCCCACGGGTCTTGCTCTTCTCCCAGCTCCTGAGCCCCCCAGAAATCCCCCGGGGAGGTCTGCGTTGCTCACCACAGAAAGCGGTGGAAATGTTTCCTAAGGCCTGCGCAGGGTGGGCGCTGCAGTGGCTTCTGGGGCCGGCACTACCCTGGCCCCGTGACTCACCAGGGGTCGGAGGATGGCCCCACACCCATGTGGAGGGCTGGGGAGCCCTCAGAGCAAATCTCTCGGGGGAAGGGGAGCGTGGAAAATAATCTGCCAACTTGAAAAGGATTTTAAAAGCCCAAAACAGACAAGGCATAGTGGTGCACAGAGGGAAGGCTGAGGCAGGAGGGTCATCCCAAGTTCAAGGTCAGCTGGGCAGCACAGGAATCACAAGAGCAACCTGGACTACAGAGCTAGATCCGGCCTTGGAACAACAAACAACAAACAACCCCCGAAAACTGTGCGACGTGTGGCTATCCCTTAACTTGACGGTAAACGCCGATTCCAGGCACACCTGCAGCCTCTGTCAGTTTGAAACATATTTGAATAGAAACAAAACCATACCAGAAACTATACTTCAAAGTCAGAGCAAATGTTCCAAGTTTTCCTCGGTAGATACATTTTTAAACCATTAAAAACAAGGCATAAAAACAGCCAGGCCCTGTGCTATAGGGCAGTTGGCCATTGTTTAATTGGTTGATGATGTCTACAAATAACTATTCAGAAAGTGAGAGAAATATGCCCTGTTGTTAAGGAGCCCAAACATGGTCTTTGTTCTAAGCCCTGTGAGAAATAAACATCGCTCGTGTGACCCTGGGTCTGTAACCTTAACCTCTACCCAATTCTCACTTTCCCAGGAGGAATTCTTTCCAGGAAGAGACTTTTACCTGTTTAGTCAAGAGATTAAACTCTATTTATTTAAACAAATGTTCACTAAGAATATATGATGTGCCGCCGTGGAGGCTGAGGCAGGAGGGTCGCCATGAATTTGAGCTGGGCTACATAGTGAGTTCAAGGCCAGACCGAACTACATAGGGAGACCCTGTTTCAAAACAAACGGGGTTGGGGGAAGAGTCCATGCTATCCACAGGACCAAGACAGTATCAGGACATTGTCCCGAGGGCAATCTAGAGCCGGGTAAGAAGTGTGACACAGGACTGAGTCCCGGACCCTGAGGCTCAGACATGAGCATGGCGGTGGTGCTTTGAATGTGGCCTGTGTCCTCCTGCAGCTCAGTTTCTGTTTACACACGAAGGTCTCTAGGACAAACGGGAAGAAAGTTAGTTTAAGCGTTTAATTTACCTCCTAAATTAGTTTTCTCTCCAGCAGACTCCTCTTAATCCACTTGCTGGGCACAGAGTCAGGGAGCTGCTCAGAGGGCCAGGAGGGCAGTGCCACAGAGTGCTTCATCTGAATGGAGCCGGGTCCCTGCCTTACAGAGCCTTAAAAGCCCCATGTTTTTCATTGCTCTTTTGGTACCAGGAATCGAACTCAGGCCCTTGCACTTACCAGCAGGTGCTGTGCTGCAGAGGTACAACCCTCCCCTGCCCAAGCTCTGTGTTTTTGTTTTTTTGGTACCGGGATCAAACTCGGGCCCTTGTGCTTGCGAGGCAGGCAGCGGAACCACGGAGCTGCATCCCTGGCCCTAAGAGAGCCTTGATTCTTGTCCTAACCAACTTCAGAGCCTGGCAGGACCACAATGGTGGGATGGAAAGCCTGGGGCTGACCAGCCTCGGGGTCTTTCTTACAAAGACCCCCGAGTATGGCAGGGGCATCTGTGTGGAGGAAACTGAGAGAAAGTCACGGTCCAGTCCAGAGAAGCAACCATGGGATGGAAGAAGGAGAAGGAAAACCTCGCTGAGAGGCTGAGGCCACGGGCTGGCCCTCGTGTGGGTCTGGCACCGAATCCGTGGTACCTGCGCAGTCCAGAAAGCCCCAGGCAGACCTCTGATTTCCAGACCTTGGGTTGGTAGCGTCTCCAGGAAACAGGAGATGCCAATGCAAATCTTCTCTAGCAGAAGGGCCGCAGAAATCCCGCAAATAAAGACTCAAGGCAGACCAGCCCAGAGTTAGAAATTGCGTGTGGCAGAAGCACGCGTGGCGGGGCACACTTATAAACCCAGCACTCTGGGAGGCTGAGGCGGGAGGATTGCAAGTTTGAGCCCAGTCTGAAAATTTAGCAAGACTCTGTCTCGAAATAAAAATTAAAAATGGCCAAGAATGTAGCTCAGTATAAAGGCCCTGAGTTCAATCCTTAGTACTGACACACACACACACACACACACACACACAATCATCTTCACCCCAACACAAAGCATGAGAAAAGGAAAAGCAATAAGAAGAAACAATAATAAACTAAATATGATTCATAATCACCTTAGAATATAGCACTATCAGTCAGATACTGTAAAAGTTATGTTTAATATATATTTGGGAAATAAAGGATTGAAATATAGCAAGACTGTCAAAAACAATACAGGAGAAGACCTTCTAGAAATGAATACTATTATAACTGAAATAAAAAGCTCAAAGGATGGATTGATCAGCAGATTAGAGACTGGAAGATAGATGTAAATAAGTCGCCCTTAGTCGGGGGACAGAGGCAGCGGGTGCAAGAGGACAGGCAAGAGACGTGGGGCTGGGACAGGGTTGAGTATCCCCGACTCTGCAGTCACCGAGGAACAGCGGGAGCGGGGTGAGGAAGGCAGCGTGGGCAGGGACAACGACAGAGCCTGTAAGGTGCCAGCTGCAGAGCGGAGGAGCCCCAGCCCAGGCGGAGTGAGCAGAGAGAAATCCACAGCAGGAGGAGCAGATGGCAGCAGCAGAGACGGAGAGGTCCATGGACGGGGGAGAGGGGCACAGACAGCACCGGCCTTGGGCTGCTCGGTGGCTGCCCAGGGGCTGGGGACACAGCCGGCTGAGGACTCCCTGCTCCACGGACGCGTCTGTTCACAGGGATGTGCAGGGAC